CAGCTGTAACCGTGCTAATTCTGTCGGCCAATGTTGGGCACTTAGGAGAAAGCATGGATGTTATTATGCATATAGCTCATAACATGTAAAATGAGTGTTTATTTAGAATATATGCTAGAACTAAAGACAAAACCATACGTCTAACATTAAAACTAGAATATATTGATTAATGGATATGCGTGTTATGATCGTTGTTTTCACCGTAAGCATTCATAACCTAAATGTAAAATCGGACTATAACATTTTGTTTCAAGTATGACAATCAGTTGTGTAAGAAACGGTTTCACAGGTCCGTTTTCGATACTCAATACCCAACTAATTCTTGACCGAGTTGCCGAAAACACCCATCAAGTGTGCCTCCTTCAGAGTCTGATTTAATAGCTTCTTGACGCATGTCTGCTTCAGCTTTAATTTGATATACCTTCGTCATGACGTCATTTTCGTTTTCTCACCTTTGCTCCGCCTAGACCATGACAAACGACGGAAGGACACATTGGGGCATATTATCATACGGATGTTTAACATTTTATAATGTTTTTGATTACCCCATACTTATCATATACTTATCACATACTTAATTACATAAATCTTTTGAAATCAAACCTGTGTTAATCACGAGTTCTGCGGTACCATGGAATCTTACACGATAAACCTTCACCCTTAAATCCTTTTGTTTTAAATACAGCACCGAAGATATCAAAGGTTTGGCTTCGACCAACCACCAAGCTATAAAGATATGACTAAATGTACCTCACGCTAATGTTTACACTTACAGTGGGCTGGTGGGCGTGCTTTGGGGAGAGACCAAACACCGATGATGATTAGGCTAGCCATGAGGTTAAAGTAGGATACAACACGTCGTTGTAACTTGTATATAACACTCACAGTAACACCTGTTGATATAGTATGCGTGAACGCATCGTCGATATAACTAAACTGCATGTGAAACCGATTTTACCAATATGAGGATAGTGTTACTTAGCGATGCGATCATTGTTGACTTTTTAACGCACATAGTGACCCAGTCAAAATCCCCAAACCATGTTTCTCCGTATAACGTTACACATGTGTATATATATATAGAGAGAGAGAAGAACAAAAATCGCATGACCTTATATATATACTAGTCCTAAGCACGTCATTTTTAGAAAAAAAAAGTGAAAATCGCCCGTGGAGAACCGCACGGTTCGAGGAAAGGTCAGACCCCTATTTCTTATCATCA